GTTCTCTTGTTCTGGGAGGACATCATATGACGTCCTCCCACTCTAACCGCGCATGCGCAGCTCCGGGGGCGAGCAGTGCGGCGATCGGTGGTGCGCTGTGTCTCTCGGACACAGCGGATCACCGATCAATGGAAAGAGCCGAAGATGTCGGCTCGCTCATGTGATCAGCTGTGTCCAATCACAGCTGATCGCATGTAAATAGGGAAATGCCGGTTATCAGTATTTCTCTCCTCATGAGCTGCCAAGCTGACAGCTCGTGAGGAGTAGAGAGCCGGTAATCGGCATTTCCCTATTTACATGCGATCAGCTGTGATTGGACACAGCTGATCACATGAGCGAGCCGACATCTTCGGCTCTTTCCATTGATCGGTGATCCGCTGTGTCCGAGAGACACAGCGCACCACCGATCAATGGAAAGAGCCGAAGATGTCGGCTCGCTCATGTGATCAGCTGTGTCCAATCACAGCTGATCGCATGTAAATAGGGAAATGCCGGTTATCAGTATTTCTCTCCTCATGAGCTGCCAAGCTGACAGCTCGTGAGGAGTAGAGAGCCGGTAATCGGCATTTCCCTATTTACATGCGATCAGCTGTGATTGGACACAGCTGATCACATGAGCGAGCCGACATCTTCGGCTCTTTCCATTGATCGGTGATCCGCTGTGTCCGAGAGACACAGCGCACCACCGATCAATGGAAAGAGCCGAAGATGTCGGCTCGCTCATGTGATCAGCTGTGTCCAATCACAGCTGATCGCATGTAAATAGGGAAATGCCGGTTATCAGTATTTCTCTCCTCATGAGCTGTCAAGCTGACAGCTCGTGAGGAGTAGAGAGCCGGTAATCGGCATTTCCCTATTTACATGCGATCAGCTGTGATTGGACACAGCTGATCACATGAGCGAGCCGACATCTTCAGCTCTTTCCATTGATCGGTGATCCGCTGTGTCCGAGAGACACAGCGCACCACCGATCAATGGAAAGAGCCGAAGATGTCGGCTCGCTCATGTGATCAGTGTCCAATCACAGCTGATCGCATGTAAATAGGGAAATGCCGGTTATCAGTATTTCTCTCCTCACGAGCTGTCAAGCTGACAGCTCGTGAGGAGCAGAGAGCCGGTAATCGCATCCCTCAGAGGGGGACATGTACACTGATCATCAGGGCACTGATGATCAGTGTGCCCTGATGATCAGTGTAGCCCCAGCAGTGCCACCTGTCAGTGTCCATCAATGCCAGCTGTCAGTGCTCATCAATGCCACCTGCCAGTGCCCATCAGTGCCACATCAATGCCACATATCAGTGCCTACCAGTGAACATCAATGCCACATATCAGTGCCCATCTGAGCTGCCTTTCAGTGCCGCCTATCAGTGCCAGTCAGTGCCACCTCTCAGTGCCAGTCAGTGCTGCTGCCTATCAGTGTGCATCAGTGCCGCCTATCAGTGCCCGTCAGTGCTGCCTATCAGTACCGCCTAACAGTGCCAGTCAGTGCCACCTATCAGTGCCTTATATGAGTGCTGCCTTTCAGTGCCCATTGTTGATGCCTGTCAATACCCATCAGTGCCACCTACCATTAACTTCTCATCAGTGCCCATCAGTGCAGCCTATCAGTGCTCATCACTGCAGCCTAATTAGCGCACATCATTGAAGGAGAAAAATCACTTATTTACAAAATTTTATAACAAAAACAAAAAACTTTTTTTTTCAAAATTTTCAGTTGTTTTTGGTTTGTTTAGCAAAAAATTTAAAAACCCAGAGGTGATTAAATACCACCAAAAGAAAGCTCTATCTGTCTCAAAAAATGATAAAAAATTTCATATGGGTACAGTGTTGCATGACCTCGCAATTGTCATTCAAAGTGTGACAGCGCTGAAAGCTGGAAATTGGCCTGGGCAGGAAGGGGGTAGAAGTGCCCTGTAGGCTAGTGGTTAATACATACACAACTGTATTAAAGTAAACCTGTCACTTGACCCTTAAAGGGCAAAGTAATGGGGCATCTGATAGCTTGTTCCTCACTCTCCTGTCACCGTATTAACCAGCTGGAGGCCTGTTTAAAAAAAAAAAAGACGTTTTTTCCAAGTATAGAGGAGCATGTGACCATCCACGCTTCCTTTTACAATGTAGTCTTTGGCTCATGAGTGACCATTTACCAAACCTGTTCACTGTCACATGAGGGCAAGGAGAAATTATTTGTAAGCTCCAATAGAAACTGAGACTTATGTAGGGGCTCTGCTGAGCAAATTTGGGTAAATGGAGCGAAGGATGGTATGAGTTAGTAGAAGAGGAAGTGGGCTCTCAAGAGAACCTGTTACTTTGCTCTAGATGGGCAAATTGATAGGATCACTTTAATTGCTTTTGATATATCTGGCTAGAGTTCGACAAGCACACTCAAACAGAACAAAACTTCAACTACCTAAAAAATGATGATAGTCACAATATCCTACTGTACTTATGACCCAGCCTCAGTGTGCTCAGACATAAACAACATTCTCAAAAGAGAATGTTTAAAATAATTCCATTTTAGTATTGCTTTAGGCTGTAAAAGTTTCCTCTTAAACCGTGATAGCTTTCTAATATGTATCATTTATTCTACTCAACAGATACAAGATTTCAGACTTTCATCCAGGCTGTTAGACATGCTAATGCCATGCAAGTTCAATGAAATCTGGCCATTTTGAAAACATGCAGATACTGTATATAACTGTAGAGTAAGACTCATAAAGATTGATTGTTATTATAAATAATGTACTGTAGTTGTAGAAATATATACATATGTATATAGTGTATAAAAATATAGTGTATTAAAATAGAACCAGTACATCATGCAGCAGATTATGCACTCATAAGAAAGATCCCTGCCCCATTAGCTCTTACAGTGATTTACATATACATTTACCCCATTCTCATTTTGCAGCATTACAGCATTGGAGATTGTAAAATTTCTGGTCTGTTTGCTGTGAATTCCATTTGCCTTTTAGCAAACTAACAATTGGATTTGATATTGCTTTTTTTCCAGCAATAGCATTCTTCTCTTTACTCTTCCTTAAAGTGTTTGTAAACCCTTACATATACCCAGTGAAGTGACTGGCCTCAAGTGATGCACAAAGATGAAACAAACCCTCCTACATAAGTTTTAACTCTTTATCTACAGTCTTCACTTCTCTAAAGTTATTCAAAGTCCAAAATGTATACAGCTTGTCTGAGAGTTCAGAAAAAAGGGGGTGGAGAGCTGAAGTCAGTGATGAGAGCTCTGAGAGCTGATTGGAGGGAAGAGACACATCCCTTCCACATAGCACAAAGGAACAGCGATGAGGCTGGAGGTCCCTGCCCTGACACCTCTTTTTTCTTGTTATCAGGAAAACTTGATCACTGAGTTGGATAGCTGGGCAGATAGTACGAGGAACCTCTCCCTATACGAACATGTTACATGTTCCACCCTAAAAACAAGTGGAACATGTAACATTTTCCCAAAGGTGAACTTATCCTTTAAGGAAGCTCATTCCTTTGATTCCTAACACACCACAATGAACCAATACTTAGATTTGCTGCATTTTCATAACAATAAATAGTGATGTACCATACATTGCAGTACACTGCTACACAGGTACATTGGAAAAGTTCATTAGGTGTCATTCACAATGTAAATACATTAGTATGCCTAATCCGGACACACGTTCACTTTAAAGCCCACCCCAATGCATTTATGCTCACCTTTGCAGTGCTCCCCTGGCTCTTTGTAAGAGCTGCTGCAAAATACCCAGTGTTTCCATGTATTCAGGAACAATAGTACCTCCTTCTCTGATGCTTGGCCTGAGCAACTAATCTGCGGGCCTAAACACCATCACATGATGAAAGCAGTGACATCATCAACTATGTGTATGTTTATCTGGCATCTGAGCTTGCTCAGGGTTAGAACTACAGGGGAACAAAGCATCAGGTGTGCAGGGAGCGGTGGAATGTAAAACCATGCAAACATGCACAATAATTGTATAACATTGCACAATACTTGTAAAACATTAATAATTTTGAACACTTTAAAAAGGTATTAAACCCAAAACCAAAAATATAATAGTAGCTTACCAATCATGAGATGTGGTGGCTGCATCCGTTTTCTTTCCTTAGGATTTTTGCTTTCTGTTTTTACCTGGTGAGTTGCCCAGTAACACACCACCTGTACTAGAGTGTCTCCAATCTGGATGAAGGAGCACAGGGACTACATTCGGGTGTTTACAAGCCATTGGGGGAAGCCCCGGCGATTAGCTTGCATGGTGCCACATGAGCCAATTCCAAGATTGTACAAATGTCTAAATAGTGGCATGCTTGTATAGAAGTTGTCCACATATAAGTGGTACCCCTTGCATAACAAAGACAACGCCAATTCCCATACTATCTTGCCACTTCTCACCATGTAGTCTGGGCAGTCAGGGGGCTCTACTTCACTGTCACTTCCCCCATAAACCCTAAAATTACATTTATAGTCTGTGGTTCTCTCACAGAGCTTATACAGTTTGACCACAGAACTTGCTGAGGAGGTACTGTTTGAATGCAAGGCGGCCAGTAAAGTGAATGATGGACTCATCCAAGAAGATGTTTTGCTGCGACGTGTACACATGTGCAAATTTCTCAGGTGGTTTATGAATGGCTGAATTTTTCAGAGCCAGTCATGTTCAGGGTCACCCAAAGGACAACAGAGTGTGTTATCACTGAAATGCATGAAGCACAGTATTGTCTCATATCTATGCCTGGCCATGGCAGCAGAGAACATGAGCCTATGATGAATTGGGATTATTTTTTGTAGTGCTCATGTTGAGGGTTGGGCCCAAAAAAGTTTTAATTTCAGAAACCGAGATCCATGAGAATGGTCTGGCAAGAGCTGAATTTTGGCTGGCTGCAATAAATTATTGTGCGTATAAATTTCTTTGGCCCAAATTATACAAATCTTCTGTGAAAAACAACTCCAAAAAATCAAGGGGAGTTACATTTTCGGTTTTCACCTGAATTTCGGGTTGGGTAGTGAATGGGGGAAGTTGTGGGTGCTGCAGAATCTGTTGCCTGCCAATAAGGATTTGCAAGCACATCCGGAAGGACACTATGGGCTCTACGGGTCTGTGTTTGAATTCTTGGTAAACACAAATGCTCCTGCGCTTGGGGATGGACTCGATGCAGTCTACAACCACATTAAGAATGTCCTGGAACATGCACACCTTGCTGCCCTCAAATGGACCGGGGGAATACAAATATACTGAATGAGGAAAGACAAAACAGAGGGCGCACAGGCCTAGTGCATTACCATAAAAAATGTTTAATAAAAAATAAAGTATGTGTTGTACTCACAAACGACAATATAGTCAAGGCACATCATAAAGAACAGCTGGGTCAACACTGCGCTGAGTAACAGTCCGCAATAGGGAGTTTAGACATCCAAAAGACGCGTTTCGAGGACTTGCCTCTGTGCACCCTCTGTTTTGTCTTTCCTCATTTGAATTCTTGGTGGCTGCGGGACACTACTTGTGCTCGCCACCTCATCAGCTTGTACTGCACTCATGGGACACGCCACGTAACCAAGTGATATTGCAGTGCTGGTATGAAAAAGACCAGTATGTACAAGGCTGTTGGTGCTCGCCAGTTCACCAAAAAGTAGTGCGGCACTAGTACTGGCTCTCTGCTGCATATGAGACAAGTCATGCGTTCCTAGCATTTCATCTCCATGGGGTCGGGTTCATCCAAACTACCTGTAAAGGTGCCGCTGCTTTCTATATGTTTGTATTCTGAGGAAGATTCTGTCAGTGAGCACTCCCCTTCACTCTCATCTGACATGATCAGAATCCTGTAGGCCTCTTCACTAGTGTACCTCTTCCGGGATATTTTAAGCTCTAAATTTACAGGTACCTAGTGAAACTCAAGAGGAGCACCTGGCTGTCAGGGACTGCTTGAGCTGCTACCAATAATATTCACCTGCTGGTGCTAGCAGAGATCAGGCCTGCTTCTGCTAATATACCACAGAGGTCTAAGCTTCCTTACTTATAACGAAAATCAACCTTACTAGACACCAAAGCAATACAGCACTAGGTCAGCAACTTAAAAATATTTAGGCCCAGCATCACAGTTAGGCAACTAGCTTTATCAGAAGGAGGCCAGCAATAGAAGTTTACATCCTTCCATAACCTTTACCTTAGGTTCACATCTAATCGTTTTCCGCAGCGTTTTACAGAAACGCACTACAGTCCATTTACCATGATTTCCTATGGGAAATGTTCACATCTCCGCGTGTTCACATCTCTGCATTTTCACCCGGTGCGTTTTTCGGAAAGGGTCAGGGACTTTTTTGAACGCAAAAAGTTGCAGTTTTGGTTCTATAGACTTCAATGGAAACAAAGCAGAAAAGCATGTAATGCATTTTTTATGCGTTTTTGATGCATTTTAAATCTGCCCAGCAACAAGAATTACCCCCCCCCCCCCCACACACAAAAATGTATCAAAAATGAGGTGCAAAAACACAAAACGCAACGCAAAATGCAATGCAGAAAGGGGTCAAACGCAAACTGCATAGGTGTGAACCTAGCCTTAGGGTCCTTTCAAACAGGAGGATGGTTCAGAATTGCCTGTAGGTTTTTCAGGTGAATCTGATGAGAAGTTCAATGTTAGTTCATGGGCAGGTGGATGTAAACAGACATTCGTCAGTTTTCAACCAATTACCTCATCTAGGTACAAAAACATTTGTTCGCTTTTATGTTTCTTTTGGACCTACATGTGACAGATTGGATGTAAATGGATATAAACAGGCAAATGTCTGTTTACATCTGCCTGCCAATAGCAGGTTTTTATGAGAGATTTGATGTGTTTTGGCTCATTTTTTATATGTTCCAGTGTGTTTCTTCCCTTTTTTTTTCCCCTACATCTCAATTAAGGGCCAGTTTATACAATAAGCAATCTAGTGCATTTTTTTTTTTCTCCATTAAAAACACATGGACAATAGGTTTAGTGCTTTCCAATGGCCTAGTTCACACCAGTGTGGTCAGTTCCAGTGTGTTCGAGTACAGAAAAAAAAGTAGATAAAATGCGGCATTTTTTTCTGCACTGAACTGTACTGGAACATGGAAAACTGCATAAAAAACGCACTGGAGTGCACCAAACATGCACATGTCCTTAAGATGAAGAAAAAAAGAGAAAAATGCACCAGAATGCATCAAAAGCGCACCAGAACATATCAAAAGCACACCAGAACGCATAAAAAATGTGCATGCAGAAACGCATCCAGATGACGTTTCTATGGTGTGAACCAGCTCTAAGGACATGTGCGTTCCAGTGCATTTTTGATGTGTTCCAGTGCTTTCCGGTGCACTTTTGTGCATTTTGCCGTGTTTCAGATGTGTTCCATACAGAATAAAATACATGTTCTACTTTTGTTGACTGCACTGGAACACACTGCACTGGTGTGAACTAGGGCCATAAGAATTCATGTTAAACACTGTCCATGCATTTTTAATGCAGAAACACTCGACTGCATCTGGTTTGAACCATCCTTAGGCAGTTGTCACCAGAACAGGTGTGCCCACTGGAAAATTTTACCTCTTTTTTACAGTGACATCTGTAAAATGTTGGATGAATTGTCGCTTAGGGCTGTTTCACAGTTTTCTGCAATGGATTAATGCCAGTAACCGCAAGGGTCCTGCTCACACTATATGCTTGTGTGATGTGCACTAGGGATTAGCTCAGGCATGTTCAGACACAATATCAAAAATGGGGGAAAAGGGGAAGGAATGCTGGGGAGTCCACATACAGTACCTAAAGGTATTGTTGAGGTGCTATCAGAATATCTGAAAGGGTGCCACCTAACCAACAATCAAAAAGCAAAGAAAAAAAGAAAATAGGCTGCACACCTAAAATGCTAACCTCAAAATTTGTTTATCGAACAAAATTTACAGAAAATAACATCGGACCCTCCACATACAATCCAACATCACAGGGGGCGCCACCCCTCGGAGAAGAAGGGGACCCACCAAGTGGGACATCAAAGATGGAAGGTGTCCACTAGGTCTAACCTGCCATGATGGTAACAACCCCTATGAGCCAACCCCTACTGCCTCCCACCCCGCCACCCACTCCCAACCACCCACTGAACCCCCCCCCCAGAAGCCCACAATGCACCCCCTCAGAGATGGATGACCCACCTGCCTGTGACCCCCTCGCATAAGAGGGAGAGGAGCTGAGGGGAACTACACTAGTCCACTGACCCCCCCAAACATCCGCTAGATGGACACCTATACCAACTGCACACCCAGGGCTATCAAACATGGATTATTCTTAGCACAATTTATAATAGAGGAAGAAAAAATACAACCAGCTGAGCTAGAAGAGCAGTTTCGGAACAGTATTAAATTAGTTGATGAGTATCAAGAACTTGAGGAATTTAGTAAACTTAATGATAGATTATGGAAAGAGGTTGAGGAGTTTCAAAAAAGAACAGAAAGTAGGGAAATAGAAAAAGTTCCCAAGTGATCTTGCTGATTTCGAAAGTGGCCAGATTTTTGATCTACATGAGCGGAGAGGTAGAACCAGATCGAAGAATAGATTTGGCAGGTACAGTGAAGATAGGGGTTGCTCTAGCTCAGTTAAAAACACCAAGAAATCGGTCTCTTTTTTAGGGACACCTTAGAGTAGAGTGAACAGAGAGGAACAAGAAGAGAAAGTGAAAAAGATATAGAAAAAGTTTCCCAGGACAACAAAAGGAATACCAGGAATTGGAAAAAGGTAACCTAAATGTCATTAATTTGACTGATTTCCCATTGGGACCTGATCATTTATCATTACTCAGTAAAGGCTTTGGTTTTTTCACACCGTGCCATAAGGGCAATAAATTTGAGATCTATAAAGATATATGTCTGTTTTTAAGTCATGTGAATTTTAAATTGATGTTCTTTGGTAAAAGAACAGATTTTGTGAAAACCCAGCAACCCTTAGGGGGGCATATGGCCTTAATGAGGAAGAGATGATCAATTTCCTTGAGGGGAATGCTTGGATTGACTCCGACCTCCTTGACACCCCACCTCCTTCAGGTCTAGCCAATAAATCTACTTTATTCCCTAGTTTTGGCACTAAGATATCTCCAACTATTTCTCAAGTCAGTGACTGCTGAGATGTGAGCAGTGGATTGGGAATTAATTGCACCGACTACAGATAACTTGACGTTGGGGGGAACGACTAGCCTTGAAGGAACTGGGAAAGCTACCTGGATGCATTATTAAACTTTGAGATAAAGGGGGGGATGACGACAACGTCTTGACACAGCCTGTTATGAAAAATGTAGTAGTAACCCCTTACCAAGAAGGGATGTTATTTTCTGTGAGTTTTGTACAGTAAACAATTTTTGAGGTTAGCTTTTTATGTGTGCTTTTTCTTTTTTTCTTTGCTTTTTATGTCCAGACACAAGTCTGAACCCAGAAGGAGAGAGGGAATACACAGTGGCGCCACTTAAGTGTAGCTGTTGGATAAAATCAAGCAATTTATTAAACACAAACTGTAGCTGCTGACTTTTAATAAACACACGCTTAACTGTCCCAGAATCCAGCGATGTTCTCTCCCACGCCGTCCCTTCTCCCCTTCATTCCTCCATGGCGCCAGCATCTCAACTGTGGGCACCAGGCTGTGATAGCTTGCAGCTTCACAGCCTGGTGCCCACTGCGCATGTGTGAGTTGCCCTGCGCATTCTAATTGGTCTGGCAGTCTTTTGGGACCTGTGAAAACTCCCAAGAGACTGCGGGAGGGAGGAGGGGGCAGAACTTCCGGCTCACTTTGCCGTGGTGAACTGAGCCGGCAGTGGGAGCGGGTACCTGTCAAAACCAGATGCCCGCACCCCCCTCCCCCCCAAAAGGTACAAACTATGACAGTGGAGGGAGGAGGCATATAAGCGGAGCTTTCACTTTTGAGTGGAACTCCGCTTTAAGTTTAAAAACTCATGTGTAGGATATAAAATGGCACATCACAATGCAGTGTGTCCTGTCAGTGCAATGGCTGAATCCTATGCGAACCTCCTTGCCCCTGGCTGCTCTGGTGGTGTCCAGGGCTCTGGGAATGGCTGGTAGCTGATGATGCCACCTGGAACCAGAAGACTGCCTGCGGTGTGCGTTTGGAGCATACACGCTCCATACTAAGGCCATGAATCGGCCATCTTGAGTGAGGTGTATATGGAAAGCCCACACACACTTCAATAACAAACCAAGTCTGAAACAACCTAAGCTATCCCACCAGAAAGCTGTCACCGTGGACTGCCAACCTGTAAGCTGCGGACTTATACAAGGGGTGTGGCTGTGCGGTGGGAAATGCATCTGCTGCCTATGATTGGCTGTTGGCTTTGACAGCTTCCTGGCGGGATAACTCAGGCGGGTTCAGACTTGTGTCTGAATGCTCCAGATCTCATCCCTTCTCGTTACTATTTATGACACGATTGATAATTTTCTATTGTGACTGATCGACTCCGTTTGATCAACTCAAATCTAAATCAATCAGAAGGGATGTTACGGCTGTTGGATTGCTGTTTCAATCACTTGACACAAGACTTCTCCAGAGCTTCCCACATCCTCTGGAACTATCTACCCCAATTTATCAGACTATCGCCTACTCTGAAAACCTATCTCTTCAGGGAAGCCTATCCTGCCTTCAGTTTATAATGGAATCTTCTACTCCTCCTACCAGCTCATCCCCCACAGTTACTACCTTTTATACCACTAGCC